ATTCGCCCACTGGAGCCAGTGATCGACCTCCATAGATTACGTTGGCTGGGACATGCATTACGCATGTCAGCAGGTAGGTTACCACGACGAGCGATTTTCGCCGAAGCAGACGCCGAGTGGAAAAAAGCCAAGGGTGGTCAAGTTAAGACCTGGCACGAGGGTATGAAAACCCTAACCAGGATACTGGGCTACATAGGTCCTGTTAGGCTCCCTGGTTGGGGACCGCGGGATGATCGTAACCGATGGTTAGAGACACTGAGCGATATGACTGGGTGTCGTAAACAGTGGCGTTCGTGCATCTCCTCAATTTCTTTGCAACCTTAGACCACTGAACTTCTCCATTTTCTTTTCGACTCCACTTTCCTTTCTTCTCCTATCCTTCATCCAAATGAGCAGCCAAAAGACAGTAACCGAAACCGGCGCTCGAATATGCGTGGTTAACGGTTGTTCAAACTGAAACTGAAACCCATGGTATGAGGGTATGAAAACCCTAACCAGGAGATTAGGTCATATAGGTCACTTCAAGCTCCGTGGCTGGAGACCTTGAGATAATCGTTATCGGAGGTTAGAGATACTGAATAATATGGTTGAGTGCCAAAAAACAATGGCGTTCGTGCATCTACGCATTATCCTGGCAATTTTGGTTTTTATGAATTCTCTCTGTTCAAATACTTTTCTATATCTTCATCCAAATGAGAAGCAATCAAAACCGGCTCACGAAAGGGCAAGATTATGGTTGCAAACATTGAACTGAACACAATCAGAGAGTCTGTGAACAGCTAAACCGGCTTCGAAGTCACATTTATGCATTTGATTAGTTATCAATACAATTGTTTAACAAATATCCGTCATTATTCAAGTGAAATATCTTTGCCGACATTTTTGGTGCCGAATGGGATACTATACTATAACATTATCAGTTGGTGTGTCAGAGGATCCTCATTGTGGGGATTTTCGTGCACGTCAGCTGGCGTGTGTTCGGGATCATTGGCCAAGAGACAAAAAAGCTCACTTGTCTGCCTAACGTAGGCATTACACTGTTGCCGGTGTTTCTAGGAGCATACGTTTCTAGTTCCAAAATTGCCAATTTTCCAATGGAAGGTTAACCTAAACAGTGTTTATTGCCACAAATCGACTAATTGCTTGAATATAGTTCCGTACAAGTATCTAAAATCATTTAACCGATACTAATTTCTTCAAATCTTCATTTTTAATTGAATTATACCGGAACTCCTATATACGCGTGCACACCATAAGGATCACCTTGAAGTATAAGCCCGACAAAGTGGCTCCAGGCAAGCTAAGTTCGATGATAAGTACGAGGTGAACTCCTAATAAAGAATCGAATTTTTATTACAAATTCTACAATCACTGTTTTAGTATTGTTATTTTATATTTCACACTTGGTTAGATTCGGATTGGGTGGGAAATAATTTACAGTGTAGCAACGTTTTGAACAAAGAAATCGATTTATTTCTCCAGTGGAGAATATGGTGGATCGTCTTGAGGTAGACCGTTGACCGTTTAGAGAGAACCCGTAAAATTATTGTCGATTGTCACAGAACATCGAATTTAAAGTGAACCAAGTTAGGCTAGTAACTGCCAAGCTAATAGTGCATAACAAGGACACAACAGTTAGCAAAGCGATAAGAAGTGCATCGATTTTCGGGGAGGAAACGCAATGAACCACCGTGGCAGAGTACACAGTCCAGCCGCATAAGCATACACTACGTGCCAAAATTGCAAAAAATGAAAATCTCTCCATCCCATTATAAAAAAGGACGATGTTTTAACCATCCTTTTCCCAGTGATCACGAAACTATGAGGAATAAGAAACCGAAAGTATTCAGTATCTGAGTTAGCGTAAAAATATTATTCACGAATATGTACAAACAGAGGCAAATCTATAATAACTGCATAAATATTGGCAATCCTAAAACTTGGAAAAATGAACCACATAATCTATGTCTATCTTTGCGATTAAGTCCACTAATTAATTCGTTTTTACCTTTATCGCGGACAAATCAACACAGAGATTTTTGTCTGTTTCCAGTGCAATTCTGGTCGGTTATCGAGCGTGAAGTAAACAAGACAATACCAATTTGGTATTATTACGAAGTACATGTCAGATAAAAAACTAGGTAATGGGAGGACACGTACCGACGAGTCATTTCGGAGATAACACGAGAGCTCTTCTCTAAATCAGCATCAGCTTGGCGAAGCTACAAAATATAAACAGAAAAACAAAGAACTGATGAAAATAAATGCATTATCGTAAATATTTTTATAAATTATATCCCGTGCAGTAATCGCGTGGGTAACAATAATGATATAAAAGCCAAAAGATGTTAACCAATAACGGTAGTTAGGGGACAAAGGTGACCCAACGGAGGTTGTGCTCGAATCTTACTGTCACCAACTATTTTTTCATGCTATAAATATATAGTTAACATAAAAATCTATCGTGCATTTCCAGGGAAAATTCTATGGGGTCATTCACATGCTACTTATTGTAAAATATTCTATCAATACGCTTGAGTCACGTGTGCTGCGATTGGCAGCATTCCATCGGTACCTGCTGTTTTCGAACTGGCCAGTCGGAAACAAAACATCCATTGGAATGGACAGCAATTGAGGAACATACAATGGCACAAAATTAAAATTACTCTTATTACTAAATTTCGGGTCTGTCAGATTCTCATACGCTTCATTCTCTTACATGTATGCGAAACCTGGACCAGTGCGTCGAAGATACACAAATTCGAACATCTGGACTGTTGGTAGCTAAGATCTATCCTCCAGGTTCATTGGAAGGACAAACTGTCTGGAGAAGTGTTACATTGATTTCACAATATCTGAGTACTCGCTTGGAAATGGCGACTCCGGTGATTTGGTCATATGCTAAACAGCCCTGGTTGAACTAGAGCTGAATCCCACCCGGTTTTTTCTTGATAATGCTGTACAGGTAGAAAAATAAAATCCTGGCTAGGAACAGTCGAGTCGGACATGAAAATCCTGAAACTACAGATAGACGGAATCACCTAACGAAAATGAAACCGGTTAGATCCGTCTTAGGATCTAGCTTCGGATCGCAGTTCCAGTTCCAGACGTAGAACTACGTAGGATAAAGCCTAAGTGGAGTGAGTACAAATGAAAGATAACTTACTCGGCCTCGACTGCGCTGCAGTTTCTCACGCTGTTCGCTCAGATCGTTGAGAATGTTGCTACCAACTTCTTCTGTTTGCAATGCAACCTTTAGACCACCTTGGAGACGATCCCCAGTTTTGGCCACACGTTCTGTATTCTCTAGAAGTCGGGCACGCATATCTGAGTCAAAGAGGACCTCTTCACGTAGACCTTCCTCATCCAGTTCATACGCATCATTCCGCACACCTGCACTGCGAGCAGAGTATTTAGGTCTTTTCTGAAAAATAAACCCAAACCAGTGGTTAACAATTCTGCAAAACTGCAGCTGTAGAAAAATGCCCAGTGAGTACCAGTAAGCATAAACTAAACCCTCAGTTCGATAAACATCAAGTGTATGAAAAATCAATTTCAAGTAATTAAACGTAAAATACACCTGTCACCAAAGTGGCCAAACAAAGGTGTCAGATAAAAATTGCGCTGTTGGTAATTAAAGCTCACTAATTATGGCATACACATATCTATCTATTCACTGAATAGTCTAACCCCGAGCGCAGGACGGAGTTTATGAGTGTCTGATTAGCACACGTTCGAACTACAAACATTAGCCCACGCGGAACCGTAGAGCGAACATCACTTTTGTCACTAATACCGCAGTTGCTCGGTGATCACGAAAACACAGGTTAGCAAACAAGCTTGTTTTTGCTGCTCCATCGACAAGCTAAATAAAGCACATTTTACAGTACAACGTTAGTAAACAAATGATCGGACCAGAATGGGATGAGGTCATTATGATGATTGCTCTGTGCCAATTGTTCGTGAGTGAGTGCGCGAGAAAAATAATGAATGGGAGGTTACTGCAACCACGGTAACTGACTCTAGTCACACAATCAATGTACACAAGTCATTTCATCCTCAGCCGGGGAAAGGTTGTCGAGAGGCAGACTCGCGAATTCTGTCCATAGCCGATGCGATTGTGATCGACCTCTCCATGGGTCCAGAACAGTTTGCAAGAACCTTGGATCAGTCGGAACAGCTGCTACTTCCATTTCACTAGCTACTGTCACTCACCAGTTCTCACGGTCCTTCTTGAGCCGACGGTGTACCTGCCGCCTAACTCTATCTTGATCCTGGCAGGTTGGGACTTACCAACAGAACTCGTTAATTTTTCGTTAAACCATTCATTCTTCTTGATTCCTTCCTGCGTATGTTGCTCGACGTACGTTCGTGGATATAATTAGTCTACACACTAAAGGCACAGTCTCGTCGTGATGCTACTAAACCTCATCTAGATGTTTCGGACTACATCACCTAATGATCCAGTAATATTAGTTAACGGCTCATTATCTCCAAGATTTACGGCACTGATGTGAGCTGCATCTTGGAAATTTGAAGACAAGATAGCTGTCCGCATGCCTTAGATATCCTCATAAGAGCCAACATTGTAGTTTGGTATATAATTCTCAAAAAACGCTAACAATCTAGGCGCACTATTTCAGGCGAGATGGAAAAATAATGGCTACTGAACAAGAAACAAAGAGCGAAAAACAAGTGACACTAAATTGATTGAAGCTCAATCAACTTACGAATTCATCCGTAAGCCTCGATAATTCTTTTTGGAAAAATTGAAGTCGTGTTGAATATTTTTCACGAGTTTCTTGTGGAAGTTCTTGAACCTCCAACAACATCTGCTCGATTAGATCTCTCGTCTCATCGAAAAGAAGAGAGGTTTCGCCAACAACGCGTCTCCTCTCCTCTGAAGAAGGAAATGAGTCGTTAAAGTGATCAACGAATACTTACCATCTTGTAACCGAGGAATTCTACTCAAATTAAGAGTTATTTCGCTAGTGAGATTGCCATATTGCTTCTCATAATTCTCAAAAAGGGATGCCATATTTACTACCGTCCGTAGTGTGGTTGTTGCTCATTTCAAATTCAAATGCAGGTCAGGTCAACTTCAAATCACAGGACGTAGAGAGGCCTTCGCCTGTTGGGTGTCCTAGTAATGGCGGGTTCCGTCTGTGGACCGACTCGCCTGCAAATGTAAAGCTTCTTCCGACTCTCCACGAGGGAGTAATATCTGGAAGGTAGAAGGGAAAGGGAGACGGCGCATTATCTCTGATATGCATTCCATCAGTAAACTTAGGGAACCCTGATCCCTAGGGCAGTTCTGGGAATA